CATGTGACCACTTTAGGTCACATGACTACAGGCGGGAAGAATACTATATAAGGAGGCCGCTGCGGCCAAGGAAGATAAGTTCTTCACGCTTTGTTCTAAGTACTTTTTCTCCTTATTACTTTAACAAATATAAAATACCTTTACGATCTTTATCTGTATTGCAACGATATCATTACGCCAAGAAGTGCTCGTCACGAAGACGAGTTAGAGAAAGCTTACAATAGGCGTTTCCGATAGAAGACAAAGGTCTTGTACTATCGGTAACGTAGGCAGAGGCCTAGAGCTATCGTAAGACAAAGAAAGAAGGAGACAGAAAAGATAAGTATCGTTCCCCGTTGCCAAGAACTAACTATCTAAAAGGGGATCGTTACACCGCCGGCACTTGACCGAACATACCCAAGTATTCAACTCATCCTCCAACTCTCCGGCCCACTCCGCAGGCGGCGAACCTACCGCGGACTCTGTAGCCGCCGGTTAGCTATAGCGAACCGGCGAAGGCGATGACCCTTCCGAGTCGGGAACAAGTGGCACAGGTGAGGTCTGATCTTGCTTGACCCGGTGCTTCTTGTTTCTCTTCCTCTTCTCACCCTCGGGTACAGGTCTAGCAACAGGAGTGAACGGACCACCCTCATCACCACCCACCACCACAGGAGGGACGCCACTAGAGGCGCTTCACCGACCAGCCACGGGCTCAGCCACAGAGGACTCAGGCACCTGTCCCCCCAAAGGGGATGATACCACCACAGCTGGTGTCACCACACCAGGATCCACCCTACCCACACCAGGAGCAAGCGCCTCCTCCAATCCTGAAGAATCAGGAACAGGACCACCCACACCACCATCCACAACCGTAGCTGCAAGGGGGGCAGGGATAACCGCCGGCGCAACATTTTCCCGAGGGAGCTCCTCCGCTTGACCCTGAGAACTCTCCAGGTCTAGCCCACCCCCCCTCCAACCGAGACCACCGTAGTAACTGAAGCGACCGAGGAGACAGGCGAAGAGGGGATAACCGTAGGAGCTTCAGCCGCCAAAATCGTGACCAAACCACGAACAGTATCGCGTTCAGAGGCCAGGGCAGCCGACAAGGTAGATATCTCCTTTTCAGCGCGATGAAATCGCCGAGAAAGGACAGAGATATGATGCCGAAGGTGAGAGACTTCGGCCTCCAGGGTGAAGTTCTTCTCAACGGCACGAGACAGAACCACCGACGAACGTAAAGCGGACGTGGCAGAAGGGACAGAGGCTCACTTAGCCATTGCGACTGTGAGGAGGCGACATAAACGAACAAACGTAAAGATAGGTAGAAGGAAGAAAGAACTTCTAGCAATCGTAGGGGAGGGATTAACAATGATGCCCCTAAAAGGTGATCGAAGTTAAAGACTTGAAGCCTATCGTGAGATAGAAATCAAGGGCTCTGATTAGACTAACACCGAACCTTCACGTTCTGACACGGGGTGGAAGAAGGAGGAAAAGTACTTAGAACAAAGCGTGAAGAACCTATCTTCCTCGGCCGCATTGGCCTCCTTATATAGTGTTCTTCTCGCCCATAGTCATGTGATCTAAAGTGGTCACATGTACGAAACCAAATCATAACAAACTAGTCATGTGACCAAAGTGATCACATGCTCAAAACCCATGACCTCATAATGAGGTCATGTGCAAAACATAAATCATATGCGCAAGGCTTACCCGCAAGGCACACTCGCAAGGCATACTCGCTAGGCGCACGTCCTATGACTCATACTTGAGCCATGTGCGAAAGCATCACAAATCCCACACATAATAAATCATATAACCCGAATGGATCATATGCGCAAAACAATAACATACCTGTGACTCATAACCATGTGTCACGTGAAAACCTTTTCTATGCCGAGCCATGTTCGTGACACTCATCCTCATCCATTTTTGTTACTTAAATCTCAAGAAAAGCTGCTTAACTGAGCCCACTACTACGCAGATTGAACCCAGACTGACTGGAATAAGGTTGAGTTTTTTTAAAATACTTAGGTCATTTAGAGCGATGAAGCGGCCTTTAATATTAGAGGTTTATCCTCTAATAACCGGGTGTGGATTACTAGACAGCCAGGAGAGGAAGATATAGAGAATCGCTTGATACTAAAATTTAAGAAGCTGAGTACAATTATAGTTTGGACTTGCTTCAAGGGACGTAAGAAAGGACTCTTGATCTTTTGGGATAGAGAGTGGGAAAAAACCATTAAGGCAGCTTCTTTTACTACTTATATAGTTCCTGAGTTGTACCAGTTCTGGCAGGAGTAATCTCAGCTTCAGTTAGACTATGTTTACCTGCAGCAAGATAATGCAAGTCCTCACACAGCTGCCCACACACAAAACTACTTCCAGAAGCTAGGAATCTGGGAGTGTTTCATTGATTGGCCTCCCATTTCACCAGACTGCAGTCCCATAGAAAATATCTATCGAACTATTAAAGATCACATCCATAAACACAATCCTTTCCCTACTCCTAATAAATCTTTTCACCAGGCCATTCAAGAAGAGTGGAACGCTATCTTGCCTGAAAAACTAGAATTTCTAGTAGAATCGGTTCCTACCTGTGTACGTAAGGTATGGCTAATTAGAATTTACTGTGGCAATTTATTACTAACTATTGGCTTTTCAGATTTGACTCACTAATGGATGCCACTCAGGTTATTAAAATACCCGTTCAACTTTACATCTGAGCCTACCGACATCTATTAGGTAAAAATACAAAAACACTGTTCATCTACCAATTTACTCATACTAACTACCTATTTCTTAGATTCGGCCAATGGAGACTATTTTGTTCTTTTTCTTTTGCTGTCTGTCTGGCGCGAATGGGATCTTTCTGTTTGACAATCATTTCTACTGTAAAAAGGGCATTCTCTTTTTTTTAATTCCCAGTTTGATGGGAAGCCGGCTTAATCACTTACTCCAGTGGTCCATATATTCCACTCAGCTGGTCAACATATTTGCAAATAGCTAGCTAGCTAGCTAATCCAGAAAACGAGGTGGATATTCAGGGCTATTTCTTCTTTTTTTTTCCTACTACTCATGGAGTTGATTTTTTACCCTTTTCATATAACTTCTTGCTTTTGTCTGCACCTGTTAGCGGTGTGGAGTTCATTGTTTTCTTCCTGCTTGGCTATATTTTACCTACCTGCCTCTCCTCAATCTCTTATTGTTGTTTGTTCTTGATGTATTTTCCCATATTATTATAGGATTGCTTTCTCTGCTGCAGTTTCGCTCAATGCTCTTGTGTTTTTCTACACAACAAACTCGATGTCTTAGACATCCCTGCTATTCTAACCTTGTACGAAAACATCATGCCTGGTACTTGTACAGTACGGTACCATAATAATCTTGAGTAGGAGACCAATGCACTGTAAAACAAACAAAGGGGTAAGCGTGTGGAGTGCGAGTGTGGAAGGGAGGATTCGGTTTGTCCTAGCGTTGCAAGGTTCCGTCCTTGGTTCCTTCTTCAACATGCTTCAGATTCTTTGGCTGACTACCAACTTCTGTTGGGAGTTTCCATACTGTGTTTCCTGCTCACCAACCTTGCACCACCATGGTATTAGTCTCTCCGATTTGTATGGACACACACCCGAGTATTAAAGGCACATTACAAGAGGGGGTCGCTGTGGTTATACTAAAGTCCATCTAGTGGAGGTTTTCCGCCTGTGACCACCCCTGTCATGTCAGCGAGTACCGGTATATCACTGAACTCAGCACCGCATCCAATAAAGGCAATAGAGTGATGCCGATTGGCCCGGCGATCGCTGCTAGCTTTGGGCTACGCCTGAAGCGAGCAGGGCAAGGCAACCGCTCTCGGTACACACCTGAGTTTTTTTTCTCTTGCTTGAGCAATGCAAAACCGGGATTCCATCAAGCACCGTTGATCCCTGCATGGGTTTGGGAACTCTGTTGGCGGTTGGAGTACGGGAGTCCTAGAAAAGGGGATTGGCCTAGTGGTCTATCGCACTGTACGAGTACTGTACTCGAGTAGTGGGGGATCTGATATACGAGTAGAGCCGCAAGAGTGCAGAGGTGTTTAGATTAGCGGAGCGGATGTGTAAAAAATACCAGCACGGTATCGTGCCGGCGCTGTGTTTACACGGACAATCTACTATCGATAAGAAATACTGGCAGAGCTAAACTCCGATAGGCTTAGCTGGACAAAAAGATGACGAAATTACGAATAAGTTACCAGTTGATGAGATCCAAAAGCTCAGTTTGCTCAAGCCATACCGCATCAGGTAAACACTATCAATTTTTGAGGCGGAGAGATACGAGTACCGTACCAGTACTGTAGGACTCGTACAAGTACAGTACAGCGCCGGTAGATTATTCGAGCAGATACCCGAGTACGAGTATCATACATTACTCGTACCCCTATCGCAACGGTAGTGGGACAACGGCATTCCCCACAAAAAAAAAAAAAAAAAAAAAGCTGGCAATGTCGATGTGGGAAAGCTCCCTACTAGTACCGATATTTTGGTGTGTAACTGGCCATGTCCTACGAGTACTGTACTAGTACTAGTACTCGTACTGTTTTCTTCACTCGTATCTGAGGTTGCCGCGCCAACGAAAGCGCGCTGTGGAGAATTTCGCGTGGCTGTATGATAACGTACGTCATCCACAGAAGGTAATCGAAACCAGAGAAAATTGTCGAGTTTCCCGCGGAGTCCCTTTGAAACTGTTCGAACAGCTCAAAGGCAAAGGGTACAGGGGAAAATCAAAGCAAAATAAGGTCCGACAAGCACAGTAATGGTTGAAAGGGGAAATGCTGTACATTTTTGGGGACAAGTGTGGCGGGAGAGGGGTTTGGGGCTCGTGGAAGGCCATAGATTTCTGTGGATCCTCATGTAGTTTCTAGCGCAGTCCATGACATTCCTTACACTTCGACCATTGAATCCACCCTTCTTTCCCTCCCCCGCCGCCCACTCTGTATAAAGGCCATTTCCTCCTCTCCCCCACCCTTCCTTCCCCTCCTTTTCCCTAATCATTCAGCACTACACGGAAGGCTCCGAGTCCTTTGTTCATCAAAACTTTTTTCACGAATCTCTTTATCCTCTGCATTACCTACCTAATCTCTCCTTCATCAACCGAGTTATCCATATAACCTTCTCCCAAGATGGCACCCGCTGTTGGTATCGATCTTGGAACCACCTACTCTTGCGTCGGTGTCTTCAGAGATGACAGAATTGAAATTATTGCCAATGACCAGGGCAACCGGACAACCCCATCCTTTGTGAGTATCACCTTTCCTAACCGAATTTATCTTCCGAAATTATCTGGACCTTTTTTTCTTGGAGCGGCTACTAATGGTTTTTCCCCGGTGCAGGTCGCTTTTACTGATACCGAACGTTTGATTGGCGACTCGGCAAAGAATCAAGTCGCCATGAACCCGTAAGTTGATCATTGCTCAGCTGTTACCTGGGGAGCTCTGCTAATGTTTGCTTAGCCACAACACTGTCTTCGACGCTAAACGTTTGATCGGACGCAAGTTCAACGAGCCAGAGGTGCAGGCAGACATGAAGCATTTCCCCTTCAAGATCATTGATAAGGGCGGAAAGCCATTTATCCAAGTTGAGTTCAAGGGCGAGACCAAGGTGTTTACACCGGAGGAAATCTCATCCATGGTCCTTACCAAGATGAGGGAGACTGCCGAGTCGTACCTTGGTGGCACCGTCAACAATGCAGTTATTACCGTTCCAGCATATTTCAACGACTCACAACGCCAGGCCACCAAGGACTCTGGTCTGATTGCTGGTCTTAACGTCCTCCGCATCATCAACGAGCCTACTGCAGCTGCCATCGCTTACGGTCTCGACAAGAAGGGCCAGGGAGAGCGTAACGTTCTTATCTTTGATTTGGGTGGTGGTACTTTCGATGTCTCTCTTTTGACTATTGAGGAGGGTATTTTCGAGGTGAAGGCGACTGCCGGTGACACTCACTTGGGTGGTGAGGACTTCGACAACCGTCTTGTCAACCACTTTGTCCAGGAATTCAAACGCAAGCACAAGAAAGATCTCACTTCCAACGCCCGTGCTCTCCGCCGTCTCCGTACTGCTTGCGAACGTGCTAAGCGTACCCTCTCCTCCTCTGCTCAAACCTCCATCGAAATTGATTCTCTCTATGAGGGTATTGATTTCTACACCTCGATCACTCGTGCTCGTTTCGAAGAGTTGTGCCAGGATCTCTTCCGCTCCACTATGGAGCCCGTCGAGCGTGTCCTTCGTGACTCTAAGATCGATAAGAGTTCCGTCCACGAGATTGTCTTGGTTGGTGGTTCTACCCGTATCCCCAAGGTCCAGAAGCTGGTGTCCGACTTTTTCAATGGGAAGGAGCCCAATAAGTCCATCAATCCCGACGAAGCTGTCGCCTACGGTGCTGCCGTCCAGGCGGCTATTCTTTCTGGTGATACCTCTTCTAAGACCCAGGAGATCTTGTTGCTCGACGTTGCCCCACTTTCCCTCGGTATCGAGACCGCTGGTGGTGTCATGACTCCTTTGATCAAGCGCAATACCACTGTCCCGACCAAGAAGAGCGAGGTTTTCTCGACTTTCTCCGACAACCAGCCCGGCGTGTTGATCCAGGTATTCGAGGGTGAGCGCGCTCGCACTAAGGACAATAACTTGCTTGGAAAATTCGAGCTTACTGGAATCCCCCCCGCTCCCCGTGGTGTGCCTCAAATCGAGGTCACCTTCGACATTGATGCCAACGGTATCTTAAACGTCTCCGCTGTTGAAAAGGGTACTGGGAAGACTAACCGGTATGTATTTCCAAACTCCAATAAAATATTTTTGTCTCATACTGATTTAATTCTAGCATTACCATCACCAACGACAAGGGCCGTCTCAGCAAGGAGGAGATCGAGCGTATGCTCGCGGAGGCCGAGAAGTACAAGGAGGAGGATGAGGCGGAGGCGTCAAGAATCCAGGCCAAGAACGGACTTGAATCTTATGCTTACTCTCTCCGTAACACATTGAGCGACGAGAAGGTTGAAGAGAAGCTTGATGCCGGTGACAAGGAGAAGCTCAAGAGTGCTATCGATGACACCGTTGAATGGTTGGACAACAACACCACTGCTACTAAGGTAAGTTCGATTATTTTTGACTTTGTATAAAGGATATATTCTAACAATTGTTACAGGACGAATTCGAATCTCAGCAGAAGGAGTTGGAAGGAGTTGCCAACCCCATCATGATGAAGTTCTACCAGAGCCAAGGTGGTGCTCCTCCTGGAGGCATGCCAGGTGCTGGTGGCTTCCCTGGTGCTGGTGGGGCTCCCCCATCTGGCGGTGGTGATGATGGTCCTCAGGTTGAAGAGGTGGACTAAATGGAAGTCGAATAAACCGCACAAATACATAGAAGTCTTGTTTGCGCAGTTTCTTTCTCTTGTTCTCTTTCTTCCAATAATGTCATCCTGGGGTTTAAGATAGGGGCGGGAAAAGTAGTGTGCTTTCTTTTTCTTTTCATTCCTTCCTATGGTTTCTTACACTTTTCCTCCTACCCACTTGTATTTACGAAAGGTTTATGGGTCTACGAAATTCAAGGTTTTTTTTTTTTTTCGTTCGAAAGTTGTGTTCCACAGATGGGTTGCACTAACACGGCGAAAAAAGCTGATACAATTTGTGTGTTACGGAAACTTCTACCGATTTCTATTCTCCTGCAGGGAATTTGTGGCAATGAGAGATTTTCACATCTATCCATCCACTTTGGGCTTTCCCAGTCGGAGAATGGCCACATGCAGGGCAGGCATGACATGAAGCAGCAGTGACAACACACAACAGCACAACGGTGTCATGTTAAAAGAGGGAATTTTCACTCGAGCATGTGGATCATAGGGCCCCACTATCACCATTCACATTGCGACGGAGAATTTATTTACTTCCTTTCTGACAGCGTAAACAAGATTGTGGCGTTTTGGGAAAGAGTGAAGGATTCGCCAAGGAAATGGGGGGTTTCTTTTTTGGTGCGGGATTGGCGGTGAAGCAGGTTTAGACGCAGAATGATCTTGCACTTCTTTTCTTTTCCATCGACTTGTCATCAAATTCTTGGATTGGAGCCATCACTCGAGTATTCAGCCCCGGGCATTTCTGCAAGCCTCTCGAACTGAGGGACTTTGGTGCGCGAGTGCCTTCCTCCGCCATACAAATCTTTGCAAATATACTCGAAAAAGGCTCTTCGAGCCCAGGGCTGAAAAGCCTCTACCGTACTGACTGACTGACTGCTATTAGGGGTGAAAGAGATAGGCGGAATAAGGCGGACGGGGATCTCACTTTTTCGCTACCCGCCTGCTCGTGCTCCCGACCAGCTGTTTTGCCTGGAGAGTCAAGGGCTATTTTTTTTCTTTTTCACTGCATGGGATCACGTGATAGTATGCGGCGGGGTTGTGTGCTATACATAGCATCCCACCGGGTGTCACTCGGGTGGAGATATTTTGCTGGAGTTTTGTTTGCGCAAGATGCTTATCGGACAGTACTTTGTCCCTCTCTCTCTCTAGGTGGGTACGGAAGTGGCTCCCGGAGCGTGGCTGGTCCCATCAACCTTGACCTACTGGACTGGTCAATGGTTGTCGGGCATCAGAACACCAAACACCGCAGAGGGCAAATTCCGGAAGGGTTTTCTATTGTTGCCTGTCTCTGGAGGCTATCCCGGAGAGAACTTCCGCAGAAGAGATGGCGCATACGTGAGAGCGTTGGTGGTGTCTAATGACATAGCACTGTCCAGCCAAAGGAATTCCTCCAGCAAGTTATTCACATCCCCGAGTTGTCTCTGAATTTCCATCGCATATTGGCATAGGCACCAGGTACGATACACGGAGTTCTCGTATAGCCTGTTCAACCCACGCCTAATCGGACAGAAGTTCTTATATAAGACTACAACACAAGTATCCAACCCAGCTTGGGGTGGAATTTCAAGCCAACTGACTAGGCAGCCCAAACAAGATATAATTTTGGGGGGTAAAGGACTATCCTATACTGCCCCCCACTACCAAACTCTCTATTTCACTACGTCCAAACTCCTGAGCGTACAGGAGACACCAAGGCTATTTTACGGAGTGGGCCGTGGAGGACTGGGAGGAGGTTGTTTGGCCGTCGGATGAGTGTGCCCTCTCCGTTGGACAGGTATCCGGAAATGTTTGGATTACGGCACCTGCTAACCTGGCGAAGAGCGTAATGATGTCTGCCCCGCCACCAAGTTCCATCAAACAACGGTAATGGTATGGGAAGCCATGTACCGTGATTTGATTTAAAAGGTCCCCTCGCTATGATATATGGGATACTACTAATTGGGGGAAATTTAGTGGTTCTAGAGTACTATACGAGTATATATGGGACATGCTTAATTGTGTTTGCGCAATTAGGCGTAGTTAAACTCGTTGCACCCCCTTTCCAGATCCTTTCCCTTAAAGGCACCCCTCCCACCATGATCAACGGGCTTTAAATCATTTAAATTTATCGTAGCTAACTACTCGTACTGTGCCCGAGTACCGCACTCGAGTATCGTGCAGGAGGCACCGCCGACCCAGCTATACCAAAAGCCCATATCAAGACAGCACCATTACCACCACAGCCACCCCAGCAAAAAGGTCAGGCTCCGACCGGCAAGGCAGCCACGGCAAATCCCAACCAAGAACAAAACTAAATAAAATAAGCCAAGGGGTGCAACGACGTCATCGTTCACAAGGCACCTAACATATCGGAGGTGGTTTAATCAAATTACACGCCTTGGCCCTCAACGCAGGCGCCGGTATTTATGATAACTCGGTGATTTACTTGTATGGCTTGCCCGGTACTGTACATAACCCACCAACCCATCTTTTATCACCAAGCCCAACTTGGAGATTGCTCATGATAGTAGGTAGTCTAACTTATTGAGAAGTATTTCTTCGAACGCTTCCGTCTTTCCTTCCTTCCTTCTTCCTTTCTCTCTCGTAAAGGTTCAGTCTGGTTTATAGCCTACATAGCACTTTAATATTAATCATGGAATTTAAAGATGGCGAAGAAGAAGTAAAACCCAATTAGCGCGTATTAATTTAAATAACAGTTCACGTTTCGAAACTAACCAATAGCATATCATACCTGTACAACCCAAATGCTTACATAACCCCCTTCCCTAGTAGCGACTAGCAAGTGTTGAACCACAATCTGCAAGAATCATGGACTACGATCAGTATTATTTATTATACAGACCGGGCTTGTCAGTGCAACAGTCGACCAAGCTCTGGCTTCTCCGACTGCGGGTTCAAGTTATACGCGAATCTAAATTCTCGTTCTATTCCCACACGATAACTTATACGAGGAATCTGGCGGATACTTGTACATACTGCATTTTTATCAGCGGCGTCGTTTTTGAGGGGGGGTTGGGTTTGTTTCTGGATGAGAGCGAGCGACTGGGATAGACCTAATGGGGGATTATTGATGGCTATTGGTCTCGATGGTAAATTGTGATCATTTTGTTGTGGCTTGTGCTTTCATCAGCTCAATTGTGCACGTGTTGATTGAATGCATGTATGTAATATTGAGACTGAACGTTACGATAGAGGTCAGACTCGGGTTTAAATACGTTTTTTTTGATACTCGGCAAAGGGGTGGGGTAACTGGAAGCGCTTACTATCGTATCGTAGAAGGGGAAAAAGAAAGAAAGAAAGAAAAACACCCAAAATAGTCTACAATTCACTCTTAACATTCTCTTCAGTATTCTCCCCACGTCCATCTTCCCCTCCACAAACCGCCGCTGTCCCAACCTCAAACCGATAAACACACTTCTCCTCCTCCCTAACACTCCTAAGTTCGTCAACAGCACTGCAATATAGATCCACCTTGACACTCCTCCTTGGTCCATTCCAGCATTGCTGCCCATTTTCGTGAATAAGGCTAGTCCCGCTAAGCCCCTCATCGTGCGCCTCCTCCCACCCGCTCTCGAAGATGCCGCGGACAGAGGCGTCGTTAATGGATTTGTCCACTTCGATTCGGGAGTATTCTCCCAGGGAGACGGAAGAGGAGTCCTTAAGGCTCTTTTGGTATGCGGTTCCGAGGAAGCAGTATTCGTAGGTGTATTCCCCGAATTGGGAGGATATACATTCGCCCTTCAGAGGACGGAAGACGTCGTCTTGGCCGTAGGGGTAGGTGAGGTCTGAGAGAAGAGTTTCTAGGTGGGATTTTGTGTCTGATTCTTCCGTTCTGCCGGTTTCGAGGGCTTGGCGGGCCGACGCCAGGGCTAACGAAGATAGAGGTCAGATATGACAAACGACCAGACAAAAGGGGGAGAAGAAGGGGAGAGTCTACCTCTAGACTCTGGCATCCCATCGTCGGACTTGGCTGCCAATAGGCCGTTTTCCACAAGCATTTGTCTAAAGTCTGCCAACTTATCGTGGACCCAGGTTCTTATGCCTCCTGGTAGGTATCAGTGAATTAGTAAATATGTGTGTAGCGGGATATTTAAGGGGAAGGGGGGTACCTTCGGCAACATCATCAGGTTCAGTGAATCCCTCCCAATCAATTTCGTCTTCATCAAGAAGGCTATTGAGATCTCGCTTCTCTGCCTTGTTCTCTGAATGCTCTCCCTCTTGAGCAAGGTACTCTTCCCAAGCTCTAACGGCAGCCTTAACCCCTTCGTCATTAAAGTTAGGATTATACCCCTCCTTTAGTGCCTTCAAAATCCCCTCGGCCTTCTCCAATTTGCTTCTGGCAGAATCCCTATCATCCCTCACCCTCTCCAAAGAGCTCTTGAGCTCCTGCATTCTCTCCCTAGCAAGAGAGATCAAAATCCCCAACTTTGACCCCTCCTTCGGCTGCTTAGCCATCTTCAACTTCTCCTCCTCTTCTGTCTCCCGAAGTTGAACTTCCAGCCGCCTGACCTTCCCCTCCAAGGCCTCAATCCTTACCCGAGTAGTCTTGACATTATACTCCAACTCAATCCTCATAGTCTTCGCCCTACCAAGCAGTTCTTTCTTCTTCCTCACCCCCTCATCCCTTAACCTCCCCTTCTCAGCCGCCAGTTTGCCAGCAGCTTTCCCAATCTCTCCGCATTTATTCTCGCACTTGACTCCTCCCACACCAGCCCATTCGTCCGACCCATCACAGCAGATCTCGTAGTCACAGATCCCGTCATTTACTCGACTGAGTGGTAGGAACGCCGGCGTGTGCTTTTCGTTCTTGCAGTAGAACCCGCGGATCGCGAGGGATTTGTGGGGAAGGTGGGAGCACGAGGAGGTTCCGGGTTCGTCGCTGCCGTCCGGACAATCACAGTAGTCGTCGTTCACGTTTTCGTAGGGGATGGTAACGTGTGGGTTTGTGAGGCAGGTAAAGGTTTTTTCACCGCATGATGTATAGAGATTTGCGTCTATTCTCTAAATTAGCGTTACCCCTTCCCCTTGTCCTCTTCTCGCTCTCCCCCAAGTCGCGAGTTTGGGGATTGGAAACCCTTCGTACCTTCCGGAGAAACACCCCGAGGTGATGATGAAGCGGTAGCTATAGACGCGCTGGATAATAACAGGAGAATACTTCCTCTCCGCATTCTTTTATTATTATTTTTTTGAGAAAAGAGACTGCAGTAAGTAAGACCCAATTGGCGGCGAGTCGCGTTCGTCGTGAAGCCCGAGGATGTGTTAAATCACAGTATCATACGAAAAAACAAGAAAAGGACACCGTACAGCTTGAGCCTCTTAGGGGGTTCAACGGCTACGGTAAGTTCCTGACACGTTTCGAGCTCCTTGGCTGGCAATCAGTTCTATATACCTTAATGAATGAATCGTAATTTTCAGAACAAATTCTTCTTGTAAACCTAGCCTTTCAATTGAAAATACATTTAATTTAATTCTCCTAGATCCAGCAGTTAACTTGTGGCATAAAAAGTGTTTTGTGAGTTTAGACACGGGTGCAGTTTGTGGTTAAACCCTAAACCTTGCTTGACGCATGAAATCTACTCGAGTTATCATACTCATACCTACGGGCGGCTGGCGGACAGGAGTAGAAAACATGTCTGGGATGTGTGACCCCAACTCTGTTACCCATAATGGCGATGTGCAGCCATACCTGTGGCCAAACATATAATATAGTGCTTTTAGGGAGGAGCAGATTGAAGGTACGGTATGTAAGAGGACGAATTATTTATCGAGTGACTGCAGGTGAGCGCAATTTGGTGTGGTGGTCAAGTGATCTCTCCTCCTGAACGGCGAGCAGCGGATGAGCTGCATCAGCGCTCCCCGACATCCCACCCTCTGCAAGACTGGGAGTTTGGGACAAGTAGAAGAAACAATGAAACAAGGACAGCTTGTGTTAGAGGTATGATACCATGAAGTATTTGTGCACGAATTGTGGGCTATATTGGGCTCGGGGAAGTGTACCTGGGTTTGTGTAGCCATGTATCAAGTGACCTACCGGTATAACCCAAAATCTTCTTGAGTGTGATATCGAGTGATATCCAATGATGGCATTCGTCCCAGATTTTGGTGACTTCCCTCTCCCACCTTGGAAAGAATCGCACTGCTGGCTCCATATTGTGCCGCGAAAGCTGGAACAATAGAAGTACCGGAATTTGCCATGTGGTCTAGAATTCCCTACTTCGGAAAAGGCGCGGAAAACCCTCCAAAAAAAGAGCGTTCAGCCCCTGATAGGCATGTCAGACAAAAACAAAAAAACACCAGGCCTCATGAGACGAGGCAACTCCAGCGGCATCGCATAAACTTCAATTGTTACAGTTTTATGGTACCGGCACTGCAGCTATCCAATGGTTTCACCGGTACGCAGGCAACCAGACAACCGTCATGCCCGAGTACCGGTATGGCCGCGTATCTGCTCTCCTTCCCGGGGTTCGACGATGAATCATTGACTCATTCCCTCCTCACGAGAGAACTAGCTTCTCATTGACCCCCGACGGGTTGTCACATTTCGTTGGATCACATCCACGGTTTCGCACCATTGCTTCTTAAAGCACATTTCAGCCATGTCCACCTGTCTGCCCCACCGTGCATCGCCTAGCCGATTCCTTCCAAGAACTTCGCCCTCCTTCGGCTTGTCGACTCCCTGTGCATTTGCACAACGTCCTTTCTGTCTTCCTTTCCCTCTTTTTCCTCAGAATTCGGTTTTCGGTTCTGGATGAGTTCCTTTGGAAGGCTGTGTGGAGATGGAACCGCTATCTAGGCAACCTACGAATAACACTTCGCTTGCGACGAGGTCGTTTGAGGACGGTTTGTAACTCTTGGCCCAATCTGTTGCTGTAATTGTGGTTATCGCCGGAAGCTAACAGGGCTCTTTCGCTTCTCACAAGACCCCGCTGTAGGTGGGTGTAGACCACGACTGAGTATACCTGGTAGAGGTCTGCTGAATTTCCCCTGTGTTGGTGGTATGATAGGCGGATAATGCTCACGAATGGCAGTTGCCGGGAGAGATAGAAGTCCAGGACTTCAGTGGCATAGGGATTATAATGCAGAGACCAAACTGAAATCGAGGGTTTTGATGATCGATTATGTTCGTAGAGGTTTGTGTTCGTTCGTTTGCCCTGTCTATTATTTCGGCTTGGACTTATATACCCGGAAAGGAGTCGGGGGATCACACGAAGGGCGCCGAAGAGTTGTAGCTCTAGAGATCCATGACCTAGCTACTTTGAAATCGGTTTATGAAGACGGGAGGGATACGAATTCTACCCTGAGAGTTTTGTATGAGCCCACATTGACTAGCCCCCTTTTACCATAAGCTTATCATTATTCCAAACTTAGTCATGTCCAGAATTGCACTTGGGCGAGGAGATTCCTGATTCACAAATTTCGCATAAAGGATAATGACGATATTGTCGGTCTCCGGGAGTTCGGCGACTGGCTGCTGCAAAAGAGGCCGCAGAGGAGGGCTGGAAAACCACTGCTTGTTGGAAAGAGTTGGAAGACAACTGCCGACCCTTGGAGAGGTGTGACGAAATGTTCTTTTGGAATGGATTATATGAAGCACTACGCGTGTGGTGATACTGAGGTTGAGAGTAAGGAAACGTGTGTGGTTGGATTAATGGGTTACGACGAGAATGGTGCACACACTCTCTCAATCATTAAGTGGAGGTCCCAATGCTGACTAGAGCAGATAATCCGGTCCACCGGTATAATGTTTATTCTCAACGACTCTCAGTGTATGTTCAATATGCTGCGCCAGGTCTTCAGACTCCTGGGCCGGACGTTGTATCACCATACCAATGCCTGGAGCATGGCAGGCCTGTGCAAGAGCTATATGATAATGGGAGCACGATTATTGTATTCGATAGCTCGGAGACTGGCTCTATTTACGATTCGTTGATTTCTGCGAGAGGTGAATGGGAGAGTCGATGGAGGAGGTTGCCATTTTATCTCGCCAATGACTACCCGGACGAGGATGAGAAGATGACGTTGGAGTGTATGAAGGTCATTACTCAAGGTAAGAGTTAGCTCGGCGGAGATAAATAATATGCAGCGCTAACGGGCAAAGATATATTCAAAGCAATAGCGAATTGCTGGGACCAACTTTTAGATGCTAGTTGGGAGCACGTTAGTATCCTTGTATGTCTCCCTGCCCAAGAGAAGCATGTATTATCGCTAACTATCCATAGGAAGAGAAAATTTATGAACAGCCAGCAGACGAAAGTCGAGCACCGGAATTATGGTCCAATTCAGCGCACTGGCTTAAGTATGAGAAGCTTATGTTCTACCACATAGACGTAGTAAACGAGATGCGAAAGTATCTTGTAGAAATCGATGGAGATTTATCGGACGAAGGACTCTGGCTCAGGGAGTCCCCTGAAGATTTCGACCGACTCAGCAGCCTAATTGAGGAAGATCTGGTCAAAAGAACGAATAATCTCTCGGAACTCATGTATAAGTCGGTCGGGATTAGGGATTCACGACAAAGCTTGCAGCTGGGAACGAGCATGTGGAGATTGTCTTGGATTACGTTTATTTTCCTGCCATTGACATTCATTGTTGGGTTCTTTGGTATGAGCGTTGATACGTTTGCGGACAACCCCTCAATAAAGTGGTACTTTATTGTTACCGTGCCATTTGTATGTGTCCCCCCAGTTCGGGTACTCGAGGCAATTATGGTCAACTGACAATGAAATAGATGGCGGCAGTCCTTGTATCCTGGTATTTGCTTAAGCATTGGCTAACCCGCCATCGCCAATCGCCACACGAACGCGGTGTCTACGAAGCCCTATATGCGGATCTCCACAGCCGCCGACCAGAGCTTTGGTCCCGCGCAGGCCCTCGCAACTACATCCAGCCCAAGGGCCGCGCATCTAAGATAAAATGGTGGTTGATGCTTCACTGGATGTCACCCAAACGACTACTTCCGCCTAGACCACCAGCGGGGCAGATATTAGACGACGAACCCGTCGGAGCATATAATCGCTTGAAGCGGTATTTGGTCAGAAAGTGGACGCCTGAGATTGAAGTGGTCTGTGGACCAGCTCCTGACCCAGAGGCGGGACTCGCGCTTGTGGGTACCGGGGTCGTTGGATCTGGGGGGGCGGCGGGTCTGGGCTTGGAAGGGGAGAATGGAATGGCTAGACCTGCACTTGGACTGCATCACTCTGAGGAGGAGGATGTGGTGTTGGCCGTCGGAGTAGAGGGTGGGAGGAATAGTGGTGTACTCGTGGAAGAGCAAATTGAGGGGAGTCCGGAGAAGGATGGAATGGGACTTCGGTTGAAGGTTCCTGAGAGTGGGGGGGGTAGATGAGTCGGTGGGGTCCAAACAGGGTTTCTCACAATGGCAAGTGGTTGGTATGCACTGGACGGGTGCAGGTATGATACAGCACATGTTGGTATTCGGGCAACACGGTGGGTACAATAAATTTTTTTTTTTCGCAGCGTAGATTGCTTTTCTCCCATCATACTGCTTTCAATGTTTCTGTGGTGTCGATTCGGTTATTGAGAAGGGAAGAAAGAGAGAGAGTGTTTGATAATTGGTTTCCGCAGGGGTAATAATAAGTTTGATATTTTCTTTCACCTTCAGCTACAGGTAGATGAAGACCGTAGTAGCGTTGACAGACATGGGTGATACTCGATGGCGGTTCCATGATGAACCTCCCCTCCTCCCCCCATGCCCAAAATTCCTTCCCGAGAGCACCAACAATCCCTAGCCCGGACCGATCCAATTACCGGTACTCGAGAATAACTTGACCCATCCATCCAACCGGCCAGGTGTATCCGAAATTTCCAGTGACGTGTCTACCATTACCACATATCTCGCGATACCGCATCCGTGCCCGAGACGCGCTGTGTACAAGAACCCGTCGAGTTGGAATAGCACACGGACGCGAAATACCGGCACTACCGAATAACAATGTTCCACCAACATCTGTCTACCTGCCGGACCCGCTTCCAGAAGGGGTACGGTACGATACCGTACCGGTAATCCCGCGGAAGCATTTCTGACAAAAGGTTTAGCTAGACGAACAAACCCGGCGTGCACCTACAGTGCTTGTAGCAAAAAAAAAAAAAGCTAACTTATCCGAGAGAGTGGAGCACATATGCCTCTGTGCTTGAGGTCTCTATGTATCCTACTCGTAGAGATGGGGGACCGTGGCATAAATGCAAGTACGGTGCAGTACCAATACACGTCTGACTACGCTAACTAATCACTTTTGCTAGAAGCGCATCGTATCGCATCGTTGCTAACTGATAGTATGGTAAAAAGGGAACATTCCCGGACTATGCCGGAACGTTTTGTCGGTTCCGCTTGACAAGAGTGACCTCTGTCTTGAAATAAGCTATGTGCAGTGGGCAATTATATTATTTATATCTTACAGCTGAGTAAGCTATCATACCTTATCTTTTTATTTATTTTGCCTTTCTCAACATAGTGGGGGCTTATCGATTGTTGTTGTCGTGCGGTGCGGTAAACTATGCGGGGCCGGGTCGGTTTTTTTTTTTGTGGGTTGGACCCTACGAGTAGAGGATTTTACGATACCGGAGGCTAACTTAGTTATGTTATGTTTTTTGGTTTTTTTCTTCTTCCCCGGATTTTGGAACGTTTTGGAAGAGGAAGTGGTCAAAATTGAATTTTGGACTGGGGAAGGAAAGTGTGCCCGAATATTATCATAATATTATCATACTGTGGATCGTGCGAGTGAGAGATAGAGGGGGCAGGTGAGAGAGACAAAGAGAAAGTGGGTTTGAGGGAAGGGGGGGGGGCACATGGCGCTGCATGAGGCTGGAAAGTCTCCGAATCTCACCCGTTATCATAGTGTATGATATCGTGCCTTATCAGTTGGCTTGTGGTGGTCTGCGAATGGCTTCAATGGGGGAGGGAGAGCTTGACTACGTTAGGGTTTGCCGGCTATTTCTTTTCCAAAGCGGAGGATATTAAATTCTCTGCTAGCTCTCCTTTCCTTTCCCCCCCCCCCCTCTCATCCTTTCGTTTGCTAGATCTTTGTTCATTGTCGAACCTATAACTTAATCTTTCTTTCTTTTTTCTCTATCACAGCCCCTTTTTAGACAGACTACACAAAAGCAGAACGTTGTTTGTATTAGGTATGCAATGGCACCACTACTAGACACTTCAATAGTTCCAGTCCCGCCAGCAGCAGCACCCCTAACGGTCCTCTGCTCAACCCGCGTCATCCTCCCCGGCGTGGAGACACTCGCGAGCATACTCATATCCCCCACCACTGGGAAAATCACAAACATAATCCGCTCCATCCCTGGCCCCTCAGCGTTTCCACCGGGTACAATATACCATGACTACTCTCCCAAGGTGATAATGCCGGGCCTGGTGGACGCGCATGTTCACCTGAACGAACCCGGCAGGACTGAATGGGAGGGATTTGAGACGGGGACGAGGGCTGCAGCGTTTGGCGGCGTCACCACTATTGTTGATATGCCGTTGAATGCCATTCCGCCGACTACTACTGTTGAGAATCTTGACCTCAAGGTCAAGGCCGCTGAGGGGCAGTGTTGGGTCGATGTTGGGTTCTATGGTGGGGTTATTCCTGGGAATGAGGAGGACCTTGTACCGTTGGTTAAGGCGGGTGTTAGGGGATTCAAGTGCTTCTTGATTGAGAGTGGGGTGGGTCTGGTTCTTGGTTCATTTGGTCCTTAGGAATTTGGTTAATGATGGCGAGCGAATAGGTTGAGGAGTTTCCGGCTGTTAATATGAAAGGCCTGGTCAAGGCCGTAGAGAAGCTGAAGGTGGGTCCTAGTGCTGAAGAGTCAATTATTAGACTGCGTATTAATTGCTATAGGACTCTCCAACGATCCTCATGTTCCATGCCGAGATGCTTCCTCCACTCTCAATGTCCGTCGGAGACAACGTCCGTCATGGGGATCCTCCTCTTGCACCTGCTGGGCCTTTAGATGCCTATAGCACATTCCTTGCCTCCCGCCCTCCAGCGTTCGAGACCTATGCCATCGAGGAAATCCTTTCTCTTGCAGATATTGCGCCTTCACTACAGCTTCATATAGTCCATCTTTCCGCTAAGGAAGGAATCCCGATTGTTCGTGCGGCTCAGGAAGCGGGTGTCAAGCTTTCAGCTGAGACATGCTTTCACTATCTCACACTCGCGGCAGAAGATATTGAAAATGGTGATACTCGCCATAAGTGCTGTCCTCCAATCCGTGAGGGTTCTAACCGTGACGACCTCTGGGATGCTCTCAAAGAAGGTTTGATCGAGACGGTCGTCAGTGATCATTCTCCTTGCACCGCCGGCCTAAAGGCACTAAAGGAAAATAGCGGAGATGGCGACTTCTTCCGGGCCTGGGGCGGTATCTCTACCGTTGGCCTAGGGCTCAGTGTTCTCTGGACTGAAGGGTGTAAGAGAGGTGTTTCCCTTGAGGAAATCAGTTTGTGGACTAGCTACAAAACAGCTAAGCAAGTCGGTCTCCTCGGTCGGAAGGGCTGTCTGGAAGTCGGATGGGATGCCGATATCCTTGTATTTGATCCCGAAGCCAAGTTCACAGTTTGTTTCCCTATTTATCCGTCAACATGGGGTGGATTGATGCTGATTGTAGTAGGTGACCTCGACCGATATGCACTTCAAAAACAAGGTCACCCCGTACGAGAATAAGACCCTTACCGGTAAAGTCTGCGAAACTTGGCTAAGGGGCCGTCAGATTTATTCTGTTGGCGGCGGTTTCGACGAGAAGATTGGTGCGAGTGGGGTGATGTTATTGGAGCCGAGAGTCCATCCTATTCAGGCGCTGTAGTCTTCGCCCCGCCGGTTCCTCAACGTTGTGTATACCACTGGGTTTCTGTTTTATTTCATTTTTCTGGCGGGAGTTGGTCAGATAATTGGTTTCTTAGTCGTAGATTAATTGATGATTGACGAGATGACATTTGATCGAGCGGTCTTTATGTGCATACGGTATTGTGAAGCCTTGTGTTGAGGAGGCTGCAAGAGCTTGGCGGTAACGATGCAGGAGCAGAGCATGCTGCATGCACCGTATTGTTGGAATCAAGGCGCGGCAGCGAGCATATCGGCATTGAGTACGATGTATAGAGTACAGGGACCTTGTGAATAAAGTAAAGTTGAATTAAGCTATCAGTAAACGGGCATTGAGAGTGCGAGAAATGCCTCGCCATGCTATTTCCTCTCTTCTTCTATTCTCTACCCCGCGTGGGTGTCAGTAGCGTCGTAATGGACCTGGTCGGCAGAGTATTTTTTTTCTTCGTCGATCGTGCCTTTGGTTGGTGCGTGACTAAGCAATTTTGGGTTGTTCGTGCCAATTCCTGGGGTCTCTGAGTGCATTGATGCCAAGATTGGTGTTGGTCAATGTCAAGGTCTAGGAACTGTGTGGCCTTAACTTAGGCTTTCAGCACCTAAACCCACAGAATCTGCAGCCCAACCCACTTTTTTTTTTTTTTGCCTACTCTCTCTGTCTTGGCGTCCGGGTAGCTGTCCTCACCCCCTATTACCCTCCTCTCGCCTTCTATCCATACTTTTCTCATTCCACTCACCACCACCAAATATCGTGGGTTACCCGGTTCGTCCGTATCATCGAAGGAAAAGAAAAAAAAATTTAGCACACCAGTTACCCGACCTAAGAAACGTTACCCGACCGAGCCTTTTTATATGGAATTTAAGGAGGAGATTGTGATGGGGAATTCTACCTCCGCATTTGTCCAGCAGGAGGGGGAAGATGGACAAGTGGAGGAAGATGGAGCTGGCCTTGTTCGGCAAACAAGCATGGAGGAAGAATCTGCCCAGGCGCTCCTAGCCCTGAATAAGGGTGTCGCGGCAGCCGATGGCGAGGGAAAGAAAAAGAAGAAGAGGAAGAAGGCGAAGAAGAAGAGGGATAAGAAGTCGGAAGAGGTGGTTAGAGATGAGGATGCCCTGGGAGAGGAAGGAGCCCTTGGAGACATGACTGTTGCAGGAGGAGGGGATGACCTTCCCGACTCTCAAAGGATTATATCCCAACACCTTGCAGCACACATGTCCAAAATTACGCCAGCTTCCGCTTCCGCCGGAGCTGCTCTACACGAAGACGACGACGACCTCTTGATGATGGAGACTGAACTAGGTTACACCGCTGTTTCTTCCCCGCCGCCACTAGACGCGGACGACGTACTTAGTTCTTCAGCCTTTCATACCTCTCCGAGAAAGAAGGGAAGAGCGGTCTATGAGAAGAAGAAAAATAAGCGGACGGATCCAATCGAGGATGCTAATAGGCTTGTTGATCCGGCGTTGATGGAATTCGACGAGGCTACTGCGGCGGCTGCGGCCGCCGTTAGCATACCTCCCGATATGTTGAGGGACGGAGCCGAAGAGCCAAAGAAGCGTAAGAGGAGGTTGCCAACAGGGAAACTTGATGACGGTCCCGAGAAGAAGAAAAAGTCTCATAAGAAAAAAGCCTCCGAGGGAATTGTCAATTCAGAAGCGGCGAGCCTGGTCCAACCCTCATCCTCGGCTCCACTTCAACAACTCCCAATTCAAGCAACTCCTTCAACTCCCGGACCCATCTCTACGACAGCTACTGCTACCCCTTCTGGAGGAAGTGCTGGGGGCACGTTTTCAGTTGAAGAGAAACAGGCGATTGACGTTCATCTCGCTAGATACGCGGAAGATAACGGTCTTGCTCATGCAGACTTATGTCGGAGAGTCTGGGCCAATGAACGCCGCAAAGATGACTTCTGGGAAGGGGTCTGCTCCGTCCTCCCACAACGCTCTAGAGCTAGTATTTACAAGCACGTCCGCCGCCAATACCATGTTTTCAGTTCCCGCGCAAAGTGGACTGAGAGCGAAGATGAGCACCTCGCGACGCTCGTGAAGGAAAAGGGAAGTGCTTGGAAGGCTGTCGGTGATGCTATGGGCCGAATGGGCGAAGACTGTCGTGATCGCTGGAGGAACTATGGCAAGTGCGGCAAAGACCGTGGGAAAGATCGTTGGGATGAATCCGAGGAATCGGAATTGAAGAAAGTCATCACCAAGGTCTTGACCGGGATCCGTACGCGTAGGGGCATCACTGATCCCTTTGACCTTGAGGCGAATACGATAGACTATGATGGTGAGAGTGAGATTAATTGGACGGTTATTAGTGATTTGATGGACAATAAACGTAGTCGTATCCAGTGTCGGTATAAGTGGAACAAGATGAAACAGCAGAAGGCGAGATCTGGGGGTGTTGCTGTTGTCAAAAGTCCTGGCACTTGGAAGAAAAAGGCAAAGGCTTTTGTTGAGGATATGCTCGTTGGGGATCATATTTGGTTGTTGAAACAGTATGTTCTTACCATTTCCAAGATATTTTCGCAGCGACCTTACTGACCTTACAAGGATCCGGGATTCGGGCGCTACAACAGAGAAGACAATCCCGTGGGAAAATATCGCCCTCAATGATAAGATTTGGTATGTTCTACAACGTGTGAGGCTTGTTGATCAAACCCTAACTTAGTCTAGGTCTGCAAAGGAGCTTGAACGCGCATATAAAAAGTTGCGTCAAACAGTTCCGCATCAACGCCTTCCTCTATCTGAAATTGTCAATAAGGTCCTCAAGGACCTTGAAGACCTTTCCGAAGATGTCAAGGGCCAACGATACCTTCCAGAGGTCAACGGTACACCCGCTGCCGCTGACGGTCCACAATCCATGGCTGAGGACCAACTTTCCCAATCTTCTGCAACCCCCCATATCCCAGACCAATTCGACGCATCCAACTACACTTACGAGCAACAACCCATGATCCAGAACGTTGCTCCGGTCGCAAGCATGAGTATCGCCGACGGAGAGTACGATCCTAACCGCGCAGCGGAGGACATGGCACTTGTTGACCCAGAGCTAATTGGTCAGGGGATTGAGCATGGAGTCCAACAAGACCTTGAAAAGACTGCCGGTGAGGCGATCATGATTGCTGCGGCAGCGGCCGCTAGGGAGCGCGAGAGATCCGGTGAGGATGAGACTGAGCGTGAGCTCCGTAGGAGGCTTGGTGTGGAAGTTTGAATTTCGTAAGAAAAAAAGAAAAAGGGGAATAGGAGAGGGCCTTGATTTCTGTTTTTTCTTTTCTTTTCTTTCTCTTCTGGTTTTTTTCTCTTCTCTTTTCTACTCTTACTACCATAGGGTCTATGTGGATGGGGGTGGGACGATTTTTTTTGTCTGTCTTTACTTTCATCGTGGGGGGTTTACTTAGTATAAGTTAGTGAAGGGACGGTGATAGTGTGATGTGGTTTCAATAGCTAGACTTTGACAGTTAAATGTCATCATCCTACTTAGCTCTCAACCAAAGGCCCCTTGCATTCTATGATAATATTTTATCCTTGAGTATTGTGTAGGGCAGTTTACTGGGTTATCCTACCACTGGGCTAAATCGGTGGTGTATATAGGTACAGTGCAAGACACTTGAAACCTATCCTCTTGTCTCCTACCCCAATATGCCCACGTTACAAGTAGTTTCAATAATTTCTCGTGTAGTTTTTTGCGGTGTTCGTCGTTTTGCGGGTTTAAGTTAAGGCTCACCTCATGAGCCCCGCCAACCAGTCTCCGCAAACACTCAATCGACAAACACCCGATCGACAACCACCCACCCTCAACCAACCGACCAATTCACCCGCTAAGCAAGTCGAAAAGAGAGAGAGGGAGAAGGGGAGGATCTTGTACAAGAGAGAAAAAAATGCTCGAAATTCCCATCGTCCCATACCCACCTCCGGAAATCCAATCCTTAATTCCTCCAGACAAATGGGCAAAGTACCAGGACTCCTGCGTAACGGCGCTAACCCACCACTTACTCCTCCCAACTCCCGCCTTTCAGAACTCGCTGAAAGATACACACCTCATAGAATTTCTGACGACCTATGCTTCGAACCAGGCACCGACAACACAGAACCCGCCGTTGAGACGGAAGGTTGTGCAGATACTGCATAGGATCTACACTACCGCCTCACCAAAGCACGTCCCCGGCCAGCTCGTCACGGCAACCTTCCTAACGGAGCTCTCCAGGGAGTTCGGCAAGAACCGTGTCATCCGCGAGTTACTAGATAAGGAAGAAGTATGGGGACTCTTCGAGAAAGATGTGTTAAAGTGCGGACTCGAGGATGCGGTCTCGGTGGTTAGATTCCTGCCTAGAGTTTCCGAGAGTTTGCTGGCTGGGGATGAGTGGATGGAGGGCGCTATTGCCCGCGGGGAGGTGGCGGCGCTGGCGACTGCGCTGGTTGCTGTCGCGTCGAGGCAGAATTGGGGGTTTCTGGGGGATGTGCTGTACAAGCTTGTTGCCGAGGGGAAGAGGGATGGGAAGACTGGGGAGTTTGTGAGGAAGCTGATTTGGGAGACCCCGGTCGTTAGGATCCTGGAGAGGGAGGTTGATGGGGTTCCGGAGGAGGGGAGGATTTCTGGGGTGCTTGAGGAGGTCAGGAGCTTTGGACCGGTAAGGAAGAAGGATAAGGGGAAGGGGAGGGAGGTGCTGGATTTAGAGGGTTTAAGTAGAGAGGAGGAGAGCAGCCTTACGACAAAGGTTGAGAGTGTTCGCGATATATTACCCCACCTTGGGACAGGCTTCGTGAGGAGGTGTTTGCTACAGATGGATGGGGACGTGGAGAGGGTTACCGCAGCAGTGCTAGAAGGGAATTTGCCTGGTGATTTGAATTTGGCGGATCAGGGGGAGGAATTGTAACATATCCCTTTCCATCTCATATCTACGCTGGTTGCTGACAAACTTGAAGCATCCCACCAGAAGCCCCGGAGCCACCATCGGCATACGCTACTCCCCCTTCCGAACCAGCAGATTCAGAATTCCCCGCTCTCCCGGTCCGCCGCAACATATTCGACAACGACGAATTAGACCTCCTAACCCCCTCTGCAACCACCCGTCTCCACCAAGGCAACAAAACCAACAAACTAACCGCAGACAAACTCCTCGACGCCCCCGAGGTCCCCAAGAGCGCCATCTACGCCGCGCTTGAAGCCTTCGACCCTGATGATGACGAGCGCGACGATACTTACGACCTAGCCGACATTGGTGGAACTGTAGACACATCCGCACCACCCGGCGACGGCTACTCTGGCGATCGGGAAGGCGATAGTGCGGAGAACGTGCTTTGGGACGCGTATAATTCTTCGCCGGAAGTGTTCAATCGAGACTCAGAAACTAGGCGCGGGAAGGCTAGGAAGGATCTTAAAGACCGGACGAGCATGACGGATGAGGCGATTGAGGGGTGGAAGGTTATGCTTGAGCGGGACCCGAATCGTCTGCGGGCTATGGAAAGGAAGTTTACCGATAGGGGTGTTTTGCAGAACGTTATTGCCAAGAACTCCTGGAGGGCTGGTGGTGATGCACGGGGGAGGGGAGGGGGGGGGAGGGGTGCGAGAGGGGGGAGAGGTGGTGGTGGTGTAGGTAGAGGGAGGGGTAGTGGTAGTAGCGGGGACGTTACGGGTCCTGCCAATGGGAAGGAGATGCAACAGGGGAGGGCGAAGAAGGAGGCTAATAAGGGGAGTAAAGCAAATCATAATCGGAGGGATCAAAGGGCGAAGAAGATGGCTAGAGGATTTACAGAATAGGTTGTGAATCTGGCAGAGTTTAGCTCTTTCCGAAGGATCAGGTATTAATCTATTGATTAATCCACGCCAAGCCCTATGGCCATTAACATATCATGCATCAAATTTTGAATGTCTTTCGCCAAAGGACACAAACTCGGTTCGCGGGCACACCGTACAGTTGTGGCGGGAGGGGGGCGGTTCAATATGGTAGTGACTTAGTCGATACCTAGAGGTAGGGGATATGGGAGCTGTAAATAGTAGAGAATAGTGAGGACCACTGGGTACCATGATAACAGTATCGGGGGAACGTAGAAACTATAAGAGAGGCTGGGAACTGGGGCCGTATAATACTCTTCTTGGGTAAGGGTCATACTTGTGGGTCCACCATTAGATGAGGCCCAGTATGAGAGAGAGCTATCCAAATGTCATGCTGACTTCAATATATTACCGGTACCTTATCCCATTCTAAAAGCGATTATGATAGTATGATATCTTGACAACAGATCAATGATCGCCCAATCGCCTTCTATCTGATCAGATTAGATCAGATAGAACAAACCCACTCCCGTATGCAGTAGATCCTCACGTGAAAAGATGACGTACCCCATTCGTCCCCGTCCTACCCTCACAAACGAGGCAACAAAACCCTCCCTTTCTCCCTCTACCCATCACCACCACCGAAAATGTCCAATTTCGACCCGAACGCTGTCATCCGCGGCGCGCAGCTCACCGTTGTAGGCGCCTACCGCGCCCTACAAAACCCCTCCCTCTTCGAAATGACACACTACCGACAAGCGTTCCTCGCCGTGGTAATAGGCGCAGCCCTGCGCCTGCTAGTCTCAGCACCCATCTTCGGGATGAGGGTGCTCCTCGGCTTCATCGGGCTGTTTACGGACCTATCCGCCGTGACCTGGGACGACGACATCATATCCGGTCTCGAATTCCTGGAGAAGAGCGTCCTGCAGGTCCCAGTGTTTCTGATGAGTGCGATGAGATACCTGGTTCCCACCCTCGACGATATGTTCATGCAGAGTCTTGAATGGGTGGACAAGACGTATCTCATGAAGCACGCGGATGAGAACCCGGAGGGGCTTAGGGCGTTGTACTACCCGAATCTCAGGCTGTACTCCAGGAGTGCTAGGGCCGCGGGCGTCTTCGGGGTGGCTGAGGCTGTTAGACCGTTTTTGATCAAGTATGCTCGTCGGGCGGGCATTTCGATCGCAGTTTATTTCGCTTCGTTCCTACCGGTTGTGGGGCGGTTCGTGTTGCCTGCGGCATCGTTCTACTCGTTTAACAAGGCAGTTGGGCCGGTTCCTGCAGCCGCAGTTTTCGGTGTGGGGCTGCTGCTACCTCGGAGGTGGATGATTGTTTTCTTGCAGGGATATTTTGCCAGCAGGGGCCTTATGAGAGAATTACTCGAGCCGTACTTTTGCAGAATTAAGTTTGACAAGGAGCAAAAGAGGAGGTGGTTCCGGGAAAGAGAGGGATTGCTGTTCGGATTCGGCGTGGGGTTTTACCTCTTGCTCAAGATACCTTGGTTGGGCGTGTTGATTTATGGCATTGTGGAGGCAAGCACTGCCTATCTTATCACTAAGGCACAACCCCTCCCCCCTCCTTTCTAGTTTCGTATGAAATGGGAGCTGACACAATGGGTACAATAGATTACCGACCCCCCTCCACCACCTAGTGCCAGCAAGGGATTCGCCGAGACACAGGTGGTGTGGAAGAATAAACATGAATTTATGAAGTTAGATCTCGATAAGATCGATAGGTTGAACGTCAAAAGTGCTATCAAGGGGGCGGAAAGTCCGTTTGTGAGTAGTACGGTTGAGAAGAAGGGTTTGTGACGTCTGGGACATTAGCGCGGAGAGATACACTGGGTTTTTTCTTCTATTTCTCTTTTGTCCTGCTTTTGGTTGGAGGGGGAGAGAGAGAGGAGGTGAGTGATTGGCTACACAGGAGCGGTTTGAGCCCCGGTTTGAAGTGATACACCTGTATTATTAGTATCATAATGCTTCCAAGAATCGACAACGGGGTTGGCACAGCACCGCACCATACAAGTCCTTGGGTGAACGCAACCAAATTATTCTCACTCGATTTCGAGGTCCAGAGTCGCTTACTTCCGCGCAGAATGTCAATGCAAGTTCCCCATAACAGAATGTACGGGATCACCGGGCACGGCGGAACGGCCAGGCACAGCAACTCCCGGCACATCACTCGGATGCACGCACCCCATCTACAAGTACCCCCCCACCAATCCACCGCCTCACTCACTCACACCCCAAACTCGAAAGTAACCACCCCAGCAACAACCGGAAAACCAGTCCATCAACAAGATTCCATATCACGCACTCCCCCCCCTCCAAAAAAAAAAAAAAATCTATTCAAGATGTCACCTCCCCCCATGCGTGGCCGCCGGTTCGGTATCCGACGAACGCACGGGTGGGTGGGTGTATGTATGGGTTTCGGAGTTTCAGTCTGGGGGAGGGGAGGGGAGTTTTGTGCGTAGGGTGTCGTCTGCTTCGCTTGGTATCATGATGGGTGTTTGGAGGGATTGCTGGAGTAGGTGGGGTTGGGGGGACTTGAGACAGACAGACAGATACGGTATCCGTGAAGGGGTTATGGGTTTCTCATCAGGTGTAAAATTGTATCATACTTGCGAGTACCGTAGTGAGCGTATGCTGCTGTGGTCCATGTTCCTGTTGGGCAGATAGAGTGCTAGTAATTCTCCAATACAGTCGCACACCCCGCTTATCCCAGATCTCAATAACCCGGATACCCCACTGTCCCGCATGAATCTCTGCGAGTTCTGGATTTCTTTAAAAACCAAAACTTGGCCCATTTTCCCGGATCGCCCACTGTGCCGGATAGATTCTACGGATTTTGGTTGCACGGGATTAGTAGGGCACGTCTACATGGTACTCTGGAACCCATCCCCATTCTCACATCAACCAACATATATTGCATAGCCGAGCCGAGTGATAACCTATGTCTGCTACCCCCCCACACACCCAGCAGCATAGGACCAGCAGAATATATTCAAATATATGTATAATCTACCCCTCAAAGGAAAAAAGAAAGGAAAAGGAAAAGAACCCTAGATAAGTAGAAGGGTAGTAATCTGAAAGCACGAAACAGAATAAACGCAGAACGACAGTTAGCCACCCGGGTAAAAGCAATGCGTGCGCGCAGAACAAAGCTCAAAGAAATATTGGAAAAGAGAGAAAAAAGACAAGAAAGAGATCGCGCAGAAGGAGCCTACCGCCCATAGGAAACATGGAGGAACCCCCGATGAAAGATATGGGGGGAGGGGGGGCGGAAGCCACCCAGATTTGATAGAGGGGAATGGGGAGGAGGTAAAGTATAAACAACGAAATGGGAAAATGGGAAAAAGGTAAAAAGGGGCAGATGAATGAATCCACTGTGGAAGCAAACAAGAGTGCGAAAAAGACCAAATTCAAAGTGCCAAACCAAACCAGCCGATAACTCAAAACAGACCCTCCCAAAAAAAGGAAAAACCGTCCCTAGTAAAGGAAAAAGGAGAAAAGAACCCCTAGAGAGCCGATGCCAGAAGATAAGATATTGCGAATCCCCCGAGACATTCAAATGACCATATAGTCATAAGAAATATGTTAAAACACAAGAGAAGAAGTCAAAAGAAGCGAATCGCTTCCGCAATAACCAAAAGAAAAGAGAAAAGAGAAAAGAGAAAGAAAGAAAAGAAACTAGCTGTCGATATCGTGATGGATGCATGCAGATTCGTAAAGTCGTTCAGATCAGAGCCGCCAATAATGGATGGAAAAAAGGTGGATGAATCAAATCAAATGGCTGCGTAAAAAAAACCCAAGGCGTGAAAACAAATAATACAAGGAACAGAAATCAATCGCTTGTCCGGGACCAGTTCAAAACGTGACTCATTCATAGCTCGAGGTGAGGGGGAGAAAGATAGTGACATTCACAGTTCGAAAAGCCAATTCCCGAGTGAGTATGGGGACCCGAAAGGACCAGAAGAGATACAATGGAATTACTGTCCCCCACTAAGGCCGGGACCGTTGGCGTTCTGCCCCGGCGATATCCGCGGCTACCATTGTTGCCGCTGCAGAAACTAGCACATCGAGCCTAAAGGATCCAGAGTCCCGGACAGGGGTATCGGGATGCGCGCTCCCCGTTGGATTACCGGGAGCCAGAGCAATAGGCATCGGCTTGTGGTGGCTCTAAACCTTCGTCAGAACAGAGATCCAAAGGGGTAGGGGGAAAAGAAAAAAAAAGAGAAGGACTTACAATGTGTGGCTCGTCAACCTCCGCAGTTCCTTCTCCGACAATCCCAGGATGCAATTCCTCATTCGTTGATGGCGTAACAACTCCTTCGCTTCCGCTCGTATCTTCTCCACTCCCAACTGAATCCCTATGGCAGCGTTTACGCCCCCACCCACTTTGCACCCCGCTCCCACTACTTGGATAAACGAATGCCTGCCTCAGTGGCTCCGGGTGCCGTGGTGAACTTAAAATTCCTGGCAGGTGGCCATTCGGCTCCCGTCTGCTACCGGGGCTATTCCATGACTGGCTAATGTTATCCCTCGTGTCACCGGACCAGCGTACACTAGGTGCATCAGTAGAAGAATGCATTCCCCACCTCCGCTCGTGCCGGGAGTTGCCCGACATGAAGTCGTCACTTTGAGACCTAGAATGTCCTCTCAGCGTCCTACTCGACATCGTTCTTAAACCCCCACCCAATGAAGCCATCCTTATGCTAAGATCGTGGGTTGGCTCTGGCTCCACCGGTGCCCTCCTTGGAGGCGGAGTGTGTCGTAGTGATGGAGAAGTATCATTTAAATTGAGAAGACTTGATATCGCAGGAAGTTGAGTATGAGATTGAGATGCACTCTGCCCTCCGATACCTAGCAGTGAACGATCACCGTGTGATGTGTTGGACGGAGAGAACAATTCTCGAGCAGCTGAGGCCTCTGGGCCAGACTCGTGCCACGTCCTCCGACGTTTAATCTTCTCTTCTTCCTCTTCGGGGGACATGGCCATCCCGCTGCGAGCTCGTAAGGAAGCGGCAGTGCCAGGGGCAGGGGCAGGGGCAGCCGTGGAACGATACCTAAGAGCTGGGCCCGGCATTGGGAGCATCCTATCGCTGTGTAATCCAGAGCCAGGAACAGAAAGTCTCCGGCCAGGGTGCCGTGTCCCTGACCCCCACGAAGATGTCGAAGGGAAAGCCGATGCAGGGGAGTTTATTACGGAAGAACTTGCCGAGTTCAGAGACGGGAAGATGGGGCTCCCAATCGGGCTTTCATTTGCACCTGTAAACGTCGCCGATGTAGGGGTTGTCATGTTTGACGCAAGTGGTTGGGTAAACGACGCTCGCCGGCCCTGATAAAACGAATTCTCACGCGAACCGAGTACGGAAGCGGGCGATTCAGGAGGCGTATTGTTTCGATAATTTTCAAATGGAGATGTGAGATCTGGCAACATTATTGGCTCGGGTCGATTCCTCTGACGTGCCTCGTGCCTCTGGTGCATCTCCACTGGATGTGGTGAAGGGTTATGTGGGGTCTGTGGAACCTGTGAGACCCCGCCATAGTTTCTGGGCCCTGTAACTCCCCCCCACGAATCTTGTAAACCTGATTGATATTTTGCCGGGGTATCTGTAAAGGCCCCTGGAGCCTGCGTGGCCCCCAAAGGTTGTGAAGGCTGCGGTGGGGTTTGTGGTTGTGAATGCCCTGACAATCCGGGTCCTGAAGTAGGAGGTTTGGGGCCCGAATTTGAGCGGGGCTTAGAGCGGTTTGCTGTGCGGGCGGTTTGCCGGGTACGCTCGGTCCTCTGGTGCCGCTGATAGCGGCTGCTTACAGCTGCCAGCGAATCATCTGGTATCGGTTCGTCTGCATGAACCGTCGAAGAGTGCTGCCGGAGATTGTCGAGACGGGAGAAGGCACGACCGCAGTGGCAATTGAAAGGCCTCTCTCCCGTATGTTTTCTGTGCAATCACCCAATAAATATACCGCAATCATATAAATGTCTCCGTATGGGGGATCGTGCAAGATAAGGGTGGGCCCTCTACGTACCTGATATGTCGTGCCAGATGCTCGCTCCGGGTGAAAGATAGATTGCAGGTCCCATACCCTTTGCAAAAGAACTTCTGACCCTTTTTCTTCTTATTCTTCGTGGGGGAACGGGGAGCTTCTCCATCCGACCGCCCTTCAGAGGACCTAGGCGATGACCTGCCACTCTCGGCTTGCGCATTTTCGGAAGAGGTGGCGGCACTAGTATTCGATGGCAACTGAAAGCCGGTGTTGGGGACATTTTGCACCGGCGCGGGGCTGTTGGGGAGAAACACGATACTAGATGTCGGTGGCCGCGAAGAAGAAACACCGTTTACGCCCAAAGAACCTTTTGATCTAGAACTCATTTTGTTAACCGCCTGAAAAGACGGAGGTCCCAGTTGGTCGTCGCTGGGCATTGTTGGAACCTTAAGGACGAAAGTGTCTTAAAAATGGGTAGCCGAAGCAACGCAGCTCGAGCCAACTAAAACGAATGAAGAGCCGCCCCCGGTGGTAGAAAGTATGGCCTGCAACCGAACCGGAGAGTCTATAGTTGCGGTATGGTGGAGGCTATATATAAAACCAACGATGTGGGGGAGGACAGTGGTTCTAGACAAGCGATGACTAGATACGACGCTTATCCGGCGCCAAAGGTTAGGGTGCCAGCTCCAATGTAGCAATCAAACCCCAGCACAGTTGGTGGAACACTCAAACACGCCCGAACCGTGGTTTGAAAGAAGAGTGAGGAGGTTGGGGAAGTGGAAGCCCTCGTTCCTGATCGTCGGTGATTGCAGTGGGAGGGGTAAGTAGCGTGCAGAACTGGGCAGGGCTACTTGATGTTGACCCGGACTAATGGGGAGTTGTTCCTGGTGGGTGGGGGTATATATGTACGCAATGCTCGGCCGTAAGGTGTTCGTTAAAAGAGCATGAGAAGCGAATTACAGCAAAGTAAGGAAAGCTGGGACCCCTAAAGAGCAGAAGAATAAGAGGAAAGCGAAAGGCGCCGAAGAGAAAAATCCGACCGAGAAAGACGGGCAAGGTCGGGGCAAGCAAGTTAACCTATGTGCTGTGGTTGACCACCCTGAAAGGAATGGTGCGAGCAAAAAAAATGTGGATTGGGGGAAGGGTGGGTGAAGGATGATGTGCAGGGTTTGTCGCCGGAGTGGAGGATGGATGAGAAGCAGCGTGGATGGGGTACACGGAAGCAACAGCGGTCCGGGTGGCCAGTTTAAAGGAAGGAGGTGAAGGGATGAAGAAAGGAAAACAAGAGTGAGCGGGCAAGCTACCCGGCGAAAGAGAGGTGGAAGAAGAAGCAGTAGGTACCGTAATACCGGTAGGTGAGGGGAGGAAGGAGGAGGAGGGGGAGAATCGGAACAAGGAAGGGACAATAATATCAGACTGTCGGCAAGGTATTGTTAGAGCGAGAGGAAGAAGAAGGGAAACAGAAGAAGCAACAGGGCCAGTTTCCCTCCTCAGAGAGAAGGGTTGGTTGCCTCCTAATGGATCAGGTAAGTGGATAGGTTTTGAGGGTGTGTGGGTGTGTGGGTGTGGGTGTGGGTGTGAGCAGTATGTCGGCGTGTATGTAGGGGGGGGGGCGATATTACGGTACTATATGGGTGGTGGTAGAGGAGAAGAGGGTGGTGGTCGTACGGTAGAGAGTGGTGGGTAGTATTAGCGGGGTGGAGGCTGATTGACGATAAAGGATCCGGCGATCACAGGCACCAGTTGCTGGCCCCTCGGCGGCTCGCTCGAAATATCAAGGGCAGAACGGTTCTGTCAGGATTCTACCCCCCGGGGGGAAGAAATATCGAGCGAGAATCGATGAGAAGAGAAATCACTTGTTGAGATCAAGTGTGTCGTCAACTCCCTTCTCGCCCTCCTAGTTTCTCTATTCCTTTCTTCCTATTTTTGTCTCCCAAAGGGGAGTCTTTCTCTCGGGTTTTTTCTTTTTCCTTTTTGGAGGAATTGGCGCTTCCCTCGTACCCTTCACCAAAAAAGTACTCGTAGAGAAAGCAGACTGAGAAGAGTCTCGCTTTGGGGCCGCAGTATCCCTGCACTTCGTGGTCGCAACTGAGACCCGCCTGGATCGTGGGAGCCAGTAGTAGCAGGTGCCAAGATCCGTTTGGCTAAAAAAGGTACCGTTCCCGTACCTTTTTACAGAATCGTGAAAAAAATAATAATATATATATATATTATATAATATAGAAAAAAAAAGACCCCGTCAAGCTTTCAACCTTCATAGAAGAATAAAGGCAATGTCTGCAGTCTTTCCCAGAGGTGTCAATGCGATGGATGATATATGGATACGCCAGCAAGTAGTCAGGACTGCGGTTCCCCGTCCTTGTGAATCAGGGACGAATAGGAATAGTGCTTGCGCAGATCGACGTCTGCAGGTGGAGGGGGAGAAAGCGTGTGCAGGGCGGGCTCTGCAGTGGAAGAGCCAGACAGAAGGGCTCACCGGGTGCTTGATATGTATCGCCTGCGGGCAAGCGAGATCAGCTTGACAGCGAGGGAACAAGGGATTCTAGGAACTTGCCGGTAGTCGAGGCAATAATTAGTTGCCCAAAAGAACACGTTGGCGACCCAAGTCTCAAAATGGGGGGTTTTCGCGAATTTTTTATCCTATCTCTGTTTTTCGATGATGAGTTGTGTCTGAGGATGTGAATAGAGGGTTAGTGTCAGGAAAAGGGATATTTCCAATATATACATTTTTTTAGGACCTTCAGGAACCTCACCCTTAGCAACGATTTCTCCTAACCTCAACAGGCACCAAAAGTGGGTGACCACACACTTCAAAAGCTATTGCATCGGCTCAAATGGGGGCCAATGATGCTTCAGGCCACCTAACCTTCAAGGTTATCTCTAAGAGGATATTTTTACAAGTACTATAGATGGGAATCTGATGCATCGGATTTGCGTTGTACCTGACCCCTTGCGAACTGGTGGCACGGCACTGGGCTCGAGTCATGTCCTTTATCTGTGCCATGAACTATGATACCATCAGCCATTCAGGGACTAGTGGAGCACTGGCGGCCGCAGTTTCAGTTTTCGTGCCTTTAGTCCGCAAGTTCCCACCTTTCGTCTGCTAGTGGGTAGGAAGTTCCAATGGAAAACCCGTTTCCAGCGAAGTATAGACACCAGCTCAAACTCCTACCTTCTGTTCACCTCTTTTCGGACTCTGGATGCCGTGATGTCCCCCTGGGCCTATTTCTTCTTCCTTTCTGTATGGAAGGGAACTCAGCAATTGGGTCGCATAAAAAAAATGATAATACGATAGGAAAAAATGAACGAAAAAAAGGAAAGGGAGAAAGAGAGACGGAAAAACCAGCCAACATTACAGCTTCCAGGAACCATCCACTGCCGTTATCATAGAAAGCCATAAATTATCTAGTTATGGTTTCCGATCTTCTGGACCTGAAAACTGGGAATTCACCAGCCAACACCGATTCGCCGTTCGGTGTCTGCATATTCCCCACGGCTCCCAAGTCTGTATTGGTGTCTAAAGGGGTGTAAGGCTTCTCTGACGCCCTCTCCCCATAGGAGAGCACTCTCAGTCCTGCATGCGGATATTTCACTTTCATTTTATTTCACCTCTAGAATGGCTACGTTTGGCCTGATTCTGGCCTCGTTGGATTGGCCCGTCGGATAAGCATCGGCTCCCAACCCTACTCGAGGCAGGTACGAGTATTGGCCCCGAAGACCAGGAGCCCAACCCAGACCTGCTTGTAGATGGACAAATCACTCAGCAGGCAAATTTGCAATAAGCCATAATACCATGGTATCTAGCGCGGTCGGTAAAATCCAGTCCCCGGTTTAGTTTATTAACCCGGCGAGATTGGGGTACTGTGGATAGCTCGGTATGGCATCTCGACCTTTCCTAAGCAAAGGCAACACCGGGAATTGGGTAGCACACAGCCGAATTCTGGTGACGGGGTCATATAGCTTTTCATCGGGTACAGTGCCTATCGTACCACATAATACTCGTCACAACCGACAAACAACTAGAAGAAAGTCCAGTCCCCTTCCCCCCTCCTCCACTCATTCCGGCAGGCCCATACCTTCTTCCCGAAAATTCACCAACTTACACTTCATTCAGTCATCTAGCAGGGCTATTGCCCAAACTTAATTGAGAATGCCTAAATTCCAGACCTCCGTTCCACAGCACTGCCCGCAATACCGCACTCGACGACCGTCCGGGCAATTGAACAAAAATGGTAGCCTAGCTCTGTTTCTTGGGTCGAATAAACGTTTCCCCAATGACATAATGATGAAGTTGATTTTTGTTCACACAGTGAACTGGTAACACTAAATCCACAAAACGCCAGGGCGCCCGCCAGGGTTCGCTACCATAGTAAGACTCTGAGTCTAAATGCGCACGGGCCAGCCCACGCTATGGACTCGGGCGTGGAGATTTGAAGCCCGGCATCTGACACGCCGGTATCTTGGCGTTATCTATTCCCAGGGCTCCGATAAGCGGTATTTCTACAAGCACTCGTACTCGAGTACAGTGCTTGAGGGCAGCTTCGCCTCGGATAGCTGCCTCCCATTCTCCCCGAGCACCCGCGCCTCTAAATCCTGAAGACTTGATCTGAGTCATTCCTGGAAAACCAGGCTACCCATCTCAGGCACCGTGCCGTTGGCCTACCTGCACAGTACAGTACGAGTACACAAAGCCGCTTCAAGGTTTTTCCCATCAAGATATCATAACCATTAGGGATCTACCGGTACTCATATCATGCGCAAGATCGCCATTGGTGCCTGTACAGCACTCCCGGGGAGAATCCAAGGAATGGCAGATGTTGCCGATATGTGCCGTGTCAAATGGCCGGGAATGAGGTTCCTTTGATAATTACCCATACATAAAATACCAGCACTTGAGTTGTCGCTGATGGCGTGCCCTCAGACCTTGTTCGTGGTGCGGATGGGGATAATGCAAGGCTAACCTTTTCGCTTCCTACTGACAAACCATTACCATACAAATCACTTTACTCGAGGATGTGTTCATCAGCCCCGTGCCTGATTGAGAACTTGCCCCGGCCATTCCGAATGAGCGACAGCCCCCGCCTTGGCAGATGCCCCCGACCTAACGCCTTCAAAGCCTTCCTATCACAATTAGAATTTTAACGGTACTTGCGCCACTGAGGGTTTTCTTCGCCCTTGGGCTGAGCAATTCGGTAACAGAAACAGTGGTCTTTTCCTCCAAGTATCGCATTTTATAAAATTTGGCCTATCATACTTTACTACGGTATACAAGTACTCGGGTAACTGCGCTCCTCAAGGCTAGGCGTTGCTACGTATCATGGCACAGCGTCGTTGTTGCCGTTAAAGGGATAGGGCTGAAGGATAGCGCCTTTGGAAGACCTAAATATACAGTACGCAGCTACAGTATCATAATTATTAATTCTCACAATCTTTCTTT